GGAAGAGAGACAGAGAGAAACACTGATGTGAGAGAGATACATCTGTTTGGTTGCCTCCTGCACGCACCCCTGACCAGGGCCGGGAGTCTGCAACCAAGGTACGTGCCCTTTACTGAAATAGAACCCGGGACCCTTCAGTTCGCAGGCAGACGCTCTATCCATTGAGCCAAACCAGCTAGGGCCTAACATGGCCTTTGTAGTTTGTGAATGCCTGTGTAGCCAGGTTCAGCTGGCAAACCAGCAGTTTTCTGAATGAGCAAGGTCTTAGAACTCCATTTCTTAGGGATGACTCTAGGAAGAAGTGTTGGATGACTCAAGGAGCTAGGTGAGGAGATACATTTCTTTTATAAACCTCATTGTATCCTTGACCAGGTGGCCCATCCTTTGTTTCTGGCCCATCCTTCAGCCTCCCCTGCCACACAGGCATTTCCTGTCACTTGGCCTTTTCTCAAAGAAGATATTCTTGGACACCTTTGCATCAAGTGTGCAGAATAGGATCCTCAAAGGATAGAGAGACATGATTGGAGAACTTGAGCATTCATATTTTATTTTTAACTCCCATGGCTCAACCTTGGGAAATCTTTCAATATCAGTTTCCTGACCTTCAAATTGATGTTATTAACTAAATAAGAAAATCAGCTAATAACTTGGAGCTCTTAGAAAAAGTTTTCTATATATAGTATGTGTGATACCATATTGACTATGGCCTAGTGCCCTGGTACTTTCCATAGCGGGAGGCTATATGGACCTGGGAGCAGTAGAGTATGCTAGAGTGGATGACTGTCATGGGGTGTGGTTCTTTTCTCATCTTGCTATCTCCAGGCAGGCCAGAGAGAGTGAGTATTCAAGACACCTAGCCCAAACATCTGTGAAGAAGTCCTCAGGTCAAAAGAGACCTCCTCTCCCTCCTTCATATGACCCTCCGAAGGCGAGAGGAGGTATTTGAGGGGACTGCATGTCAAACCTGTGTCATGTGGTAAGCAATCTAGTAATAGGCAGAGCTGTGTTTGAACATGGGTCTGTTTCATGTCAAAGCCCAAACTGTCCACATTGCTGGTCTGTCTCAGGCAGATTAGTTTAGACTAAAAACAGCCCAGGCACTGGGCCACCAGAGCTCACTGACTCTACCTCATGATCCCTTGGTGACATCGTGTAACAGATGAACACTTTGTTTATCTGTCAGTCACTTGAGGATTTCAGATTTATGAGGAGAAGGCCCTACTTTAAGATACCGCTATTAGTAGTGGCTTTAAAATCCTTTGCATGTACAAAGTTCCATAGAATACTAGCTAATGACTTGAGTGGAATGACTTCCAAGTTGAAATGAATCCTGCATACAAGACACCCTGAGAATATAATGGAGGTGTGTGTCGGGGTGGGGTGGGGTGGGGTGAGGTGGGGGGATCCTGCAATTTTATTTATTTTTTAACAAGATAACCATGCACTTTATTAAATTTCAAATTATCAAGCCCAAAACAATGTCCAGAAAAGTTATAGAATTTTAACAATTTGAGTCCGGTCCCTGGCTCAAAATAATGGAATCAACTGATAACAAAATAATTTGTCAGCCAAATCCTATAAACAGGACAGATTTTAAAATGCCATCCAAAATGTCAGACAATAAAAAAAGTACCAGAAAGAAACCTACGCAAATATGCAGAAACCTCAATGATTAATACTCCATTAAGACTCTTTGTAAACAACCAAATGAAGGAATAATACACTTAGTTTGTAAAGATCAGTAGTGTATAAAGATGTCCATTACCACCAGAAACATTTATGGATTTAGTGCAGTTCAAATTAAAAGGCCTACGAGGCTGGTCTAGGTCCTTTGGGAAGTTTGCAGGCAGCACCACTAAAGCAGAACATCCACCTCGAGCAACAATTCCACTCCTAGACCTGAGAACCCGCAGAAATGTTGCATTAGAGCAGCAGGACGGTCAGTGGCCTCACAGGGAACACAGCAATGCCACCTCCCCAAGTTGGATAAATGGAGGTGCCTTCACACTGCAGAAGAGTAACCCGTGGCAACCACTTTCCGCACCTGAGTGGGTGCACCATTCTCACCAAAGACACCCTACTCCCCTCTGGCACAGCAGGATCTACAGGACTTTGTGGGGACACAATCCCATATAGAGGCAGTAACATCCAGGGGCCAGAGGCCTTCTAATCATGGGTACCTTCTTGGTACCTGGAAGAGGAGGGTCACTCCAAGGTGTCTTAAGGTGAGCACAACTCTGGGAAATCAGGGGTCAC